GACTTTTTGAGGCTTTGATAGGCTCTCCACAATGGCTTTATCAGCTCGTACACATTCAACCAAAAGTAAGCTTCATTGCCAACCGAAAATTTCTTATGGAAATCAGGGTCAGTGGCTAACTTGTTTTGGGCCCATTCACTGTATGCGGAAGGCACCCGATGGTCGTTTGGCTATAACTTGTTCAAGAGGTGAATTTTGTATGCACAAAAACTGATATCCAAAATCTTAAATAAATTCAATGGGTATAGATATTTGGAGATATTGGACATGTTCATTGTACAAGAGTGCTAAAACAAAAATAAGTGCGAACTTTCAGATATGTCAACTAACAAGTCGATCTGCCATGCTTTATTTAAAAATCGCAACATAGGACGCGACAATAACTTGTTTTTGGAAAACTTACTATATTATTTATGTGCTCTACTTAATCAGACAGTAAGATGATTCCTCGGTTTGCGCCAATAGCTGAGCTTTGATATGAGATACGTATGTGAGTAACTGAACGGTTAGTGGAACCTAACTACTCCGGATTGTGTGTCGTGCTTCATCTATTGCATTTGACAATACCAAACAGAGTGCCGCAAGAACTTCTTCTCAACATCGACTTAGATTGTTCAGTTTCTAAATAGTGTTAAGCGAGTAAATTTAATAAAATTTTGAATCGAGGTAAACTTTGAAAAGACGCAGTAGACAGTTGACAAAAGTTATGATATTTTATTTGGAAAATATCGCTTAGTGACTAACACTGATCGTTGATTAGACGGACAAACATCTTGCTTAAAGAATAGAAAGGAAAATTGTGACAATTGAAGTGGTTTAGTTTGAATAATGGCACAAAAGAGTATCACACCAGAAACTAATTATAACCCGAGGTTTGAATCTAGACAAATAGCTTCAGTAATTAGATTTAAAGTTTCCACAAAGTACCGCCAACTCAGCTGGTTATCGAAAGGTGTGAGGTTCAAGCTGTTTTGGACGTGATCTCGCAAACGTGAGACAATCAAGAAGAAAGTATTGAAATGTTTTATCGCCGTTTTCCTCCAAGCAGCTTCTGCAACTAACAGTCGGTAAGATTTTTAGATTTCACCCATTATCCAGTTAAAACTCTTATAAGTAGGGTGAGCATAACCTTGCTATCGGTACCGGTTATCTTTTATGTTTGTTACTTAAGACCAGAAGTAACTTCCGAATTTATATGTACCGATAGTTTCCCAGCGCTTGCAAAGTTCTTGTGAAGTCCAGCTGTTCCATAATAATCCGCAAGAGGGCAGCTAAACTCCGACACGTTCTAACTCGCACGACATTGAGGCTGAGAAAAATTAAAGGTTTATAATATCCAAACAACAAAGCGGCGAGGCCGATGGATTACCGGCCGAACTATTTAAATACAGCGGCAAAGAACTGATACTGAGCATGCATCAGCTTCGTTGTAGACATTGGTCGAATGAAAGCACACCTGTCAACTACCTTGGGATAAGCCTCCTCAACATCGCATAAGTTTCTATCGAGCGTATTGTTTGAAAGATTAAAGCCCACCATCAATAAACTGATTGCATCTTAGCAGTGTAGCTTTAGGGCCAGAAAATGAACAGCCTACCAGAGTGTAGAGGATCAGGAAGACCTCAACTCTGTTGGAAAGATCAGGTGAAGAAGGACCTAGCTACACTTGGAATCTCCAATTTTCTGTCGTATTTTTCTATCAAAGAAGCTGCTTACAGGTATTTGTCGGAACCGCTAATATCGGACTATCATAGCACATAATTGTCATACAAATTGAACGACCAAAATTTAGTTCTTGTATGGAATTTTTTTTTATTTACCAAGATATCTTCACAGTATTTCGCAAGAATTAATACAAAAAATAATGCTATAATATACGAAGAAATCGTTCAGATCGGAGCGCTCTATCGTATAGCTGCCATACAAATTAAGCGATGAAGATCTGGTTCTTGTATGGAAAATTTGTTCATTTGACGAGGTATCTTGACAAAATTTGAAATGCATTATTATCAACAGAAATGGTAAAAACTGTATAGAAATTATTCAGATCGGACAACTCTAGCTTATAGCTGCCATACAAAGTGAACGATAAAAATCAGTTATTGTATAGAAATTTTTTCATTTGTGGAGGGTATTCTTATTGGCAACGATAAATTTAACTATTTTTATAGTCAAATAATATTTGCACTTAAGTACATTTTAAATCACCTCAAATGATTACACATCGACGATTTTGATGGACGGTAGTCGTGCGTGGCGCGCAATCAATACAACAAATCGCCTGCTAGAGTTTAGATTTATGCTGATCTTTATGGCATTTCGCACGCATTTAGAAATTAATGCGATTTCTATGATTTTGACGATTGTATATGTTTATAATTTCCTATGGAGGTAGCGCAAGTGAATCACATAACGTAAATAAACACTTGATTTTAATGGCAACGCAGCGGAAATGCCCATTTGATGGCGGCAGAAGCGAAGTAAATTATCTGACAGCTGTGTATATACTTACTTAGGTGTTTATCTATATATGTATATATTTATACATATATATTTATTGTAATATATGTAAGCTATGTAGGTATGCACTTCATGAAAGCTGTGCACTTGCAATCATTTGCCACCTCGGAACATAAATGACCCACTTGGCTGTCGGCCATTAAGTGCATGCGCTTGCAAGTCATTCTATTTCTCTTTCATTTTGTTTTTTGTTGCAATATATAGTTTTTCACTTTCGCACAATTAACTGTAGTATGGCGTCTAGCAGAGACCAAACAAAACCTATGCGAAAGTGCTTAATGCCGGCCGGCCGGTTTATGGACCGCACATTTACGGACACAACGGAACACCCATGCGAGTAAATTATGAGTATATGACTGATAATAATTACGCTCATAAATATGGGCAAACATTAAATTTAATTATTAATTTAAAGCTTAAGCACTGCGTTGGCGAACTTCAGTCATTGCGGCAAAAAAAAAAAATATATATATATATATGTATACATATATTTTTAATCGACTTGGTAACGAAAAGTGGCGTAAAATTAGTAATACCTTCTTAGTCGCTACTAAAATATGTCCATTTAAAATATTTTGCTTTCATTTCGACTAGAATTTATTTCATTAAAATTATATTATTATAACCCCCTTTTCCTTAAATTTGCTTTTGATGTTCCAAATACTAATCGTTGAAAATTCTTGCCTTCATCTGCCTTCCGGCGTTTGTGGCTTGCTTGTTCCCAATTAAATTGGGTTAACAAAACTGCAGCGCTAGCCAAATTTAATTTAGCTTTAATGGAATATGCTTTTTTTGGATCATATGCCAAGGCGAAAAATAGACAGCGACTCAGAATGTATAAACATTATGCATCGGTGGAGACATAATGGAATAAACATGGAAACATTTATAAGAATTTTTTTAAGAATTTTAAAGTGACAAGAGCTGTTGATAAGTTCGAATTTTTGTTAATGGCTGGAGTTTGTATAGTACCGTGATATAGTAGTGATGACGGCAATCAGTTTTCGCCAATTCGTTAATATTCCGAGTTTTACTGGTGTACATTCCGTTCTTGCTCGATAATAAGAAATTAGGACGAGTTAAATAAGGATACTTTGGTGGCCAGCTTTGTTCGTTTTTATCAATGACTTGCCTTCAGACTCATAGAATCTGGGTGCTTAGATGACTGCAATTCTGAGTTGACTTGAATCTTCACACCCTTACTTTCTTTCCACTATAATCTGCATTACTCGAACAACTGAACCAAGATCTGGCTGTCGTTTCTCTGCTCAAATACTTTCGAGGTATACATAGGAAGGGAGAACTCGCTGCGGGAATTTATTGAAATGGTGCACTGTTGAGAACTTTCAATAAGCTCCTGTTTTAGGCTTCCTGATCACCGCAGCGCCTTCCAGGCGGAGGTCGCTGCTATAAAAGTAACAATAATTGTACTGCTTAGTCTGGAGTGCAACCCTTATAAGGCAATGACTAGATGCGCCGTTGGCTTCTTATGGTTCACTTCTGTATTATTGGGGCTCAGACCAGCTGAGCAAGTGCTGGTAAATTATCCGCAGCTATGTAGTCACTGGGTCTTTCTGGTCCAGGATAAACCTTAAGTCGTCTAAAGAGTCTTTGCTCTCAGCAAGGTTTATATTTCGATGACTGTAGGAGTTTTAACATAATGTTGTCCGACCGGGATTCGAAAGGTAAGATTGAATGCCTAAAGGAGAAATCAGCAGTCAAACTAATATCGGCATATGCAAGTGACCTCATAGCTGCAGCAGTGTCAAACAGTTAGACAACCGAAGAAAGACATACAATGAGTGCCTAAATAGACTGCTGCAATGGTTCTCTTCCACTCTTCCGTGAATTTAGAACTAGTTGAGCACTCATAAGAACGAGAAAAGTGGAAAAAATCGATCAGCATAAAACATTTTCAGCGTAATTTAAAGCTGAAGAATCTGAAAGTACAAGTCAGATAGAGCAAATAAGATCTGTAACGCTTAATCGCGAATGATGGCTGTAAGTGTTCTAGCCGGCGATTTTTAATAGCAAAGATGGTGTCCGTCGACAGCTAGATATGAAATTACATGCCTAAAGAATAAACGCTGTGCACACGCTTTCAGCAATATGAGCTATTTGTGCTTTCCGAATAATATGCAGTGATTTGGCTGAAATAAAATGCTGCCTTCTGACACATTCAAGGCGATGAATACGCGCGAATATACCGATCAATAGAGTAGTATACAATAGAAAAAAAAGCAGAGTTAATTGAGAGCATTGAAATGGTGGACCTACAGATCATACATCATAAATGTTACTTAGAATGTCTTGTCCCCTCCACGAGGAAAAACTAATTCCAGTGATTCTGTTGAAGAGTCTTGAGTTGGGACTAATATGAACAAGCTACACAAACTAAGGGATTTCTTTACTAGACCTTACATAAACATTTTAGGAATCAATAAATAATTAATAAGAAGGAAATAATGTGGAAAACTCACCATAGTATTGTCGAAAACTTGCATATTGCTTGTTTCTTTAAACGCTTATATATGTAAGTATCACTTCACAAACAGCTTAAGTCCTTGAATTTATGAACGAAGAAAAATTTGATTAAAAATTTGTCAATTTGTCAATTTTGATTTTATTAAATTTTTTAATTTTCGATAAATGTATTATATAACACAACTTATAACCAAATTGTATGTATATAATAATTCAAAATTAATTATATAAATAAATGTACAAATTATTTATATGTGAAATTTTGCATTTAATTTATTTAGATTTGAGAAAGAATAAGAACATAAAATGTTTTCTTTGAAGAATGTCTGAAAGCTATAAATTTTTTAATGAAATTATAATGTATGTATATTT